ATATATTGCCAGGCGGTCGCCACAGAGTGGCCATTCCGTCCTACCCGCTCACAAACAAGTACCTAGTAGGCCGCTGCTACCTACCTTGCTACGTCACCACGACAAAAAAAACTCAAGACCACTAACCACTGCCGCAAACAACACTACGTTGCACTCGACGCGTCTAAGAAAACACACGACGAAGGAAGAGAAACGCACGCCAGGAGAAATGCGAGGGAACATGAGAAGGACACCACAAGCCATTTCTCAACACCAGCATCGCCGCCGATGCCTCACGGCTCCTCGCCCTCGTCGTCGCTGATGTCCACCACCACCACGCCCGTGTCGTCGTCGTCGTCGATGTCCAACACCTCCAGCAAGTTGCCGCCTCCCGACGACGAGTCAGCCTTGTCCGCACCGGCCGATGGCGCGTCGAGGGGCTCCCCCTGGGCGTTGGAGTTGAGCTTCTTGCCAGGCCTCGTCTTCCGACCCGTCGAAAGGCAGGCTAGCCTTCCTCCAGCTCGCGCGGACTTCATCCGCGGTCAAGGCGTCCCACGACTTCTTGACCCACTGTGCTTCTGACCCCCGCGAAGGGGTCTCCGGGTAGCCATGTGGTCGTCGTAGAGCCTGGACATGGTTGCCTTGAAGATCTTGTTGACGAGGCCATCGCACGGCTGGAGCTTGGGAGTCAGGCCTCCCGGGATGAGAAACAGCGTCGTGTTGGACTCCGCCATCGCCTTGGTAGACGCGTCCGTCTTGTGGACGGTGTAGTCGTCCTACGCCAGCAGCGTGTCAGGCTGTCGGTAGCCGCCCAGGCGACCCTGCCGCCCCGGGCGCTGGTTCCACACCTGAGGCAGCCAGACCTCGTTGAACACCCGCTGGGAGTGCCATGCCTTCGGGTCCACGGCGTAGACGACACCTCGAGGGTATGCGTAGCCCTCCTTGTCCTTGTAGTCCTTGAACTCGCGCTCGATGCTGTTGGCGGCAGGGGCCTTCCCCTTCGGCGTGGGCTGGCCCTTGAAGATGACGAGGGGCGGCAGCTTGCTGCCGTCGGCGAACACCGTCAGGACCGAAGTGATGCGCATCTTCTCCTTGCCGACGGTTTTGACGCCAACCTCCTTGTCGCCGGTGCGCTGCGGGATTCCATAGAGCAGCGAAAAGCGACGTCAACGTCGGGTATGCAGAAACGATTTTTCATGTCAAGCTTGAAAGTGAGAGCAGCGGTTGTAAAAAAATATAACCAAAATCAGCGGAGGACAGGACGCCCAAGAAAAGACGGAAAGGACGCATGTACATATACATATATATCGTACACTCCAACTGGGTACGTACATGTATGGAGGCCAAGATAGGGATCGCTATATCGAACGAAGCATGAGGGAAAACTAGGGCAAAAAAGAAACAACCAGGCACTCACGTTCACAGTGTTGTTCCCCGGGTTCTCCATCCACGTAGGAGTCTCATCCATGTTGGCGATCTGTGCGAAGGCGAACCTGGGACTCGGCCCCGACGGAACTCCAGCGCCACTCCCACCCCCGCTGCCGCTCGCGCTGCCTCCCGCCACTGCCCCCAGGCATTCGACTCCGTCCGCAAGCTCGAGCGCGGAAGGGACGTCGTACTTCAGCCTCCTCCACTCCTTATTCGCCTGCATGGCGATCACGGGCCAGCCGGTAGGAAGTTTCTGGCCTTGACGGGTGGCGGCTCGCACGGAAAAGCGGTAGACCCTGAGAAACCTTCTGCACCACGCGGTCTGCTTGCGGGTGTACCGCAGGTTGCCCTCGATGTCGGACGGCGGCGGCCTCTCCCCGAAGAAGTTCGGGTTGAGTTCCGTGGCCTTGTTCTTGATCATCCTCGTCGAGACACGGGCGGAGATGCCGTCAGAACGCAGATCATTGATCCAGTCCACGACCTCGCGTTCGGCGTCCGTGTGCGTCCTAGTCCGTCCGACGTTCAGCGACATGCGGTGCTTGGCTTTCTTCCTGCCCTTCACTCGCGAGTACTTGGTCTCCTCCGCAAGCGCGGCTTCGTACTTGACGTCTTTGACCCACGTCGCCAACGTGGCCTTGTCGGGAATCTTGAGGATCCTGCTAGCGTCTGTTACGCCAACAGTCCCGCCCGGTCCTTGCGCCCCCTTGAGCTTTCTCTGCGAGTACCTCACGGCATTCACCTTGAACTGCAAGGTGTAGCGCTTCCTTTGGGTTCCACCACCATGGTCGGGAATCGGGAAGTCCGGCGGCTCCAGCTCCAGCCGCCCTTTCTTCCTCTTGCCCTTGTTCTGTGCCGGCGTACCGAAGAGAACGCCGCCGAGCCCATCTCCCCACTCTGTCTCTCCGGGAACATCATGTTGCCGGGGTTGCCATCGTTGGCCACCGGAGCTCCTGACGTTGGTGCTGGTGCTGGTGTTGCTGCTGCCGGTGCTGGAGCTGGCGCCGATGCTGGACCTGGCGCCGATGCTGCTCCTGATGGCGGCGCTCCCGGCGTGGAGCCCGCCCTACCAAAGGCAAGAGTAGACATCATGTGCGGGATGGAACGAAGCGGTCAATGTTTGAACGCACGAAAACATGTGTCGTCTGGGTAGAAACCAAAGATTCCTTTCATAAAGTGCTGGCTGACTATTATAGTCGAAAGGGCACCGTTTCCAATTCTCCAAATACCGTTTGCGGTTGAAAGTACCGTGAGGGTGAACAAAAAAATTGCAAAACAGGCACGGATGCACCATCTAGGTACCGGTAAATCAGCGGCAACAACGCTGCGATAATTACAATTGTTATAATTTTGCCATTCGTGGGTGAATTAAACACATGTGCAAGGCAAAGAACAACAACTAAGAAAATTCCTCAGGTATGCCAGCTGCAAACAAAGCTGCGGTATTTCCGCAACACAAAACGCCATGCAGGAACAAAAATCATATATGCCTAGGTACACAGACGCAAAAATGTGTTGACCGCGGGAACGTGTGGCGCACAAAAAGCTACGCACAATACAACTTCAAAAATGTGTACCGCGAACGTGTGGCTCAAAAACCAATGTCAAAAAATTACACGAACGCGGGAGTCTGCGGGTGGCGCAGAAGCCAACCCACAATTGCACGTTTCGAGACCACACGCGGACCGATACCACTGCTGTACGCCAAACCCACGAAGCACACACACACATTTCTCACTTGGATCGTTCTTCCGTGCCGAATGAAGTGCTTGGCTCCTGGTCCTCCGCCACGTCCTCCACCACCAGCTGAGAGGCTTGGCTGGTGGCGCGTGTTGACTCCTCTGCGGTACTCGTACGTGCAGCTGAGAGCGAGTCAGCAACTGGCTGCTGGTGAGGCGAGGCGGTGGCTGTCATGTTGGCGCCTGTTGCAGTGCCAGCTGCTGCTGCTGTCGTTAGATCAACAGCAGCAGCAGCAGCAGCAGCAGCAGCAGGAGGAGCCAAAGCAGGAGGAGCTTGCGCAGAAGAAGATTGCTTGGTTTCAAAGAACGAGGTGATCTGCGACGCCTGTGCTGCTGCGGTCGAAGCAGCTGCGGAGGTACTTGCGGCGGCAGTCTGCTCTTC